CCCATGGGTTTCACGTGCACCATAGAATGAACGAGTGCACGACACGTGTTCGTCCACGTTGACCAGCTCCACCGCTGGACCCGCATCGTTTCAAGATCCACAGACGGCGTGGCGAACATCAAAGAAACCCCCATCGAGAAACAACGAGGAAATTTAGCGGACGATACGAAAATAAACCGACGCGGAATCACCGGGCAGCGATTAAACAAAAATAGACCCACGACTCCCACTGAAACACCCTCTACGCGGATTTCCTGCGTAGACCTTGTTAATTCGTTTGTTTCGCTGTCTGACATTTTTCATCGCGTTTTTCCTCTTACACGCTTGATGCGCTTTAAAATAAGACAGGTTCATAATTAAAAATTTTTTAACTTGAAAACGTTAGAGAAACACGGAAGAGTAATTTTTGCTAATTGGAATAGTTTGAGCAAGGTAACCATAGATTTCTTTTTAACATGATACTTAAGATAACAACAGAAGAAAGAAGAATCAATAATTCTGTAGGTAAAGAATAGAATAAATAATGCATTCGACTTTGACTTAGAAAGGTATAGATTTCTCTGTAACCTTTCTATGGGGTTAAAAGGATAAACCAATAGATCTCTGTGTATAATCCACACTATCCATTAAACTCACCTTCTCAAGCATCTCATCTCGAGCCTCCATTTAAGCAACCCGTTCCAAAAAACTGTCCTCGAATAAAACAAATTTTCAGTCAAGTGGAAACAACCCTCTCGATAAACATCGCCTACCGCTCCATTCAATCGCACTTTCCGACGTCGATTAAGAAACTTAAATTCCTCACAATTCACCGTACACTCGACTCCCAAAACCCCCTTCAGAAAATTCATAAAATTCATCGACCTGCTGCGTGTTCCCCGGAGAAACGTCTCCTCGGCTCCTTTCAAGGATGATCGAAGGAAAATGCTGGCCCTCGTGGAATGTTACCGGTGCAGGCACGAGGGTTGCATCTTGAAGCGTGCATGGTGCCTCCTGCTGCGCCGCGGCTCGAGGGTTGTCATCTCTACGAAATGCTTAGTATCCTTTCGAATATAAATATATGAAGGTTTACTTTTCTTGATTCTTATCAAATTTTCTTTGGGATACATTTTTGAGATGCTCGAAATTAGCAAGACATAACCTCAAAGACTTACGATACATAACCTCAAAGATTTGCGATACATAACCTCAAAGATTTGCGATACATTAACTCAAATATTGCGAATATTCCTCCACGGTATATTCGTGGAGGAACTCAAACTTTGAGTTCGTTCGAATCGTGTTTCATTGTCTAGAATATTGTACGTAAAGTCTACAATACTTACTTATAGCAAACACATATTCTACACAGAATGCAGGATACATTTCTAACAAATGTATTGTATATAGAATGTAGGGTATAATAACAAGAATGGAACATAAAATATAACATATGGAACAAGTAAAGTATAATATATACAGGTATATTTTATATTTGAGAATTAAAAAAATTGGAAGTATACCTGGATGTTGTAGAACCTGTAAGAGGGGGTTTCGAATATCCCTGGGTATAAGAGGGTACGAGAGAGGGGGTGTGTCAGGCTGCACCCCTCGGGATCCTGCGGTCATCCCTCCTCGTCGGTCGCCTTTAGAAACGGTCCGCTACACCGAACGTGGCATTATGCAGAGCCCGTGTTGTACAGGCCGTTACGGAACCGCCCTGTAATGGGATAAAAATAACCGTGTTTATATAGGATTACGAGCCGATCATCTTCTTCGGTGTCCGTGTTCGGAACACACAGGCCCTTGGGAAGGGTAGAATTTTTGTCGAGGCGGTTCCAACCCCCTATTGTCTGACCCGACCGTCTTCCGTCACGACTAATAGATACGTGATAGGGACGTGCCGTCGTCTTGGGTACGTGCACGAGGTTCCACGGTTCATTCTGCGCCGCGTATTTGTACGCTGATCAATTCCTCGAGCGGCGTCGCGTGCGGATCATTGTTGCGTGGGGTGCTGACCTGGCTGAAGGTGGGTGACGCATTGTCTTTTTATTACGTTCGAGCATGCGAAACGTCGAATTTATGGCGTGATTATGAGACTGTCATATTTTTGCGCGGAAATTGTTTGTTTAATGGCAAGTGGAAGATCAATATTATCGATTTTTTAGACTTCTTTACGTGTAAAGACTCTGTCATTGTGTGAAACCCTCAGATTGATATACAGGGTGAGGCACTTAAAACTACCTGAATAGCTACTATTCTTGATAAGAGAAAGTTAGACCAAAATTATTTGGTTAGGTTAGCCCTTGATAACAAATAATTTTTGTTTGATGCATTTTTTTCTATCAGCGATATAAACCTACATAATACCAATCAGTCAATCAATATTTCTATCGAACGTCGAGTTTCGAATTGCTAAACAATCAGTGCTGTCTTGCTTCACGTCGCATCATTAAATACCGTCAGAGATTCTACGTTCCGAAATAGAATCAGGTTTATCTAGCTCTATTATCACGCGATCAATCAGCCCATTTCAACAGTCTGGTTGCACTCGCGTATCAGAGCGAGGAAGAAAAGGTTACAGTTTCTAATTGTTTGCACTGTCGCTAACGAGACGATGTTGTCACGAAATTGGACCCATCGATATTAGCTATCCCCTACTCTCACATATTTGATTACAGATGCTAATTGCGCGACACCGCCATCCCTCTCGACCCCCTCTCTCTCGCGTTCAGGGTTGAGGAGCGTGGGGGTAGAACGTGTACTTGGGAATCTTTAAACGTAGAATAACGGATTAACATCTAAAAAGTTGACAATTTCGGTGATATGGAAATTGGTTTGCAAAGCTGAAACAGTAATAGCAAACGCGACCCGCGGGATGTTGCAACGGACAGGGAGGGCCGTTAGTCGGACGTTATTAAATTATTCTAGCGTATTCTAGCGTAACGGCGAATCTACCCGCAGATATAAATTGACACCGACAACGCCGATTCAACATTGGCCAGGGACAATCGAAGCCCAGCCTCGGCTACGACTAAATACGCGACGAACGCGTGCCCGCCCGTTCACCTCCGCAACGGGGTTAAATTCCTGTTATTAATGGATTTGTTTGCGGTGCCTGCCTCGACGGTCAATATTTATTTATCCGGGCGAACGTTAGCGCAAGCGACAAGTTCTGGACGGTGTGGAGCAGAGAACAGCGAGGAGCAGGGTGGATTCGCGGGTCAGAGGGAACGGCAAGGCCGTAAATAAATGGCCGGTCGGCGTATTTATTTGGTGAAGAAACAAATTTATGCACCGGCCCGAAACGCGAACGTTGCGGCGACTTGGCAACGAGGAAGAGTCTCTGATTTCCTGTACGCTTTTTATCGGGGTACGCGAGAGCACAGGGCGCCCTGACCTGCCGAGTGGGTTAACCTTTCAAGGGCTGCAGTTTACCTCGCCGTAAACTGCTCCGTTTCTGGATTGTTGTTGAATTATGGAAATTCTTTAAAAATTGATTCGGGGCAAGATCTGATGGTACTCATCGATCACGAATGTTACTAGACTGCAGATGCTGGTGTCATTTTTGTGGAATATCGGACTTCAATAGGAAGTTCGGATTTCAATAGGAAGTTTGTAATAAAGTAGAATTGGGATAGCTTAATTGACAAAGTGGAGACTTTCGAGAAAGCTTGATAGAAATTTGATGTTTAACTTCTTCTTTGGATACTTCGTACCTTTACTATTTGCTTCTAGATGTGCTTAATACCTATCATCTTTAGAACTTTTCGATGAATGAAGTGTACAATTAAATATTAATTGCTTCATAAACACAGAAAAAATTTCCTCAGCACCAGACAATGTTATACCGAATACCATAGGATGCAAACAATTTCTCCGACCATTTTATCTGCATCCAGCAGGACCAAATAAACTGAACAGACAAGCTGCTCCAAAAATACAGCCTCCAACCTCCTCCCACACGACCGACTCATCCAAAACTCCAAGTACCCTTACACAAACAAAAGCAAACACTATAAAAAAAGATGTTCCGAAACTCTGCTACAGAACATCGAGCAATGAATCTCTTCCTCCGAACCTGCTCCCGACTAATTCGTATCAAATAGTCGTAACTGTCCACTCAGGTGCAACGTGACATCTTTACTCTAAAATTATTTGCTTTCAAGGTTGAAACTTTTGTGTTTGAGAATTAGGGTGGTAAGGTTAGGTTCCAATTTAAGGTGGGAGTTTAGGAATTAATGAAATTGGGATTTTGGAGATTTGGGCAGTTGGGAATTTGGATATTTAGGGAATTGGGGAGTTTGGAAATTTAGAGGTTCGGGAGTTTAGAGATTTGGGCACTTACAGATTTGAGAATTTGGAGATTTGAGCACTTACAGGTTTGGGAATTTAGGAATTTGGAAATTTAGAAATTTGGGAATTTAGGGATTCACCGAATTAGAAATTGGGGAATTTAGAGATTTGGACACTTACAGATTTGAGAATTTGGAGATTTGGGCACTTACAGATTTGAGAATTTGGAGATTTGAGCACTTACAGGTTTGGGAATTTAGGAATTTGGAAATTTAGAGATTTACCGAATTAGAAATTGGGGAGTTTAGAAATTTGGACACTTACAGAGTTGGGTATTTAGAAATTTGGGCACTTACAAATTTGGGAATTGGAAGATTTAAGCACTTTACAATAATTCAGGAATTCACAAAGTTCGAAATTGGATAATTCATGGATTCGAAGTAGAAAATTGTGGGAAAGAGACATCGGTAAATCGGTGATGCACCTGCAAACGGAGTGCATGAAGGTCCGTCCGTCTCGATAGCTCGAGCAGCACTCCGCTGGTCGAATCGAGCTCCAGCGTCGAACTCCCACCAGGTTTCAGTTCCGCTCCGCTTCGGAGCGGGTCCAGGCCTCCACCGGTTCGTCTCCGCCGCTACTGCCACCACCACGTTTCCGCAACCACCACCACCGTCGGCGTCTCCACCACCACCAGCACCACCATGGCAAGCCAGCAGCGGCGCCCAAGAGGCGAAGGGCCCCGAGGTTTCTGCGCTCCGAGTCAGTTGGCCGACATGAGCCGCGCGCGTTGGGGCTCTCGGTGTTTGTATACTCGTTAAGGGCTGTTCTCGCAAACGCGATCGTGGCGTGTGCACCACTTGCTCGCTTGAAATGTACGCCGATCGAGCGTACCGCGCGAGAAGCGTTTCTCTCATCGAACTGATCTTCCCGTCCGTCACCGCGTGCAGATAGCTTCGGGCTAACTTTATTTCATATTTCTTGCTGGAAAGTGCGCTAACGAGGGGTGGTAAAACGGTGCGACGAACTATCAACGGGTCACCGAGTGTTTGTCAGTGCAGTGGGTTCAAGTGTCGATCGACTGGATACGCGTGCCGATCGAAGCGTTTTTTCCCCTGGAGAAATCGTGGATTTTCCTGGATCCATGCTATCGAGTGAGTTTATTCACCATTTTGTTTGTGCTCGAACTCTTCGAAATTCGATTTTTCGATTCGGAATTGTATATAGAAATGTTAGCAGTGTCAACGTGCTGTATGTCGAGATCTGAAAGAAAATCTCGTGACATTGCTCGACGCCGTTTCTTAACAACTCTTTGGAGCACGGCGGTAAGAAACGCATACCACGTTTGCTACCGAATATAGCGTTGCGGCGTTTTTAGTCTAGCGCGTGTTTAACACGTTGTCGCAATTGACGGAGTCAGATATTTACCGATGCTATGGCAATTATGTAGACTTTTGATTTAATAGTTCACCGGAAAATACTGATTGAAAAAGTTTCGAGGTTAATGTCATAAAATATTTAATTGCATTTTCATATCACTTAAAGTAATTTATATGAAGTTTTTATATAATTTCGTGTAGTTCGTACAGTTCATGCAATTATAGTTTCATGTAGTTCGCGTAGTTTCATGTAGTTCATAAAATTTAAGGCAACTTCCACATAATTCGCTAAAGTTTTCAGTGCCACATTCATTTCAAGTTTTTATATAGTTTCACATAAAATCTTCTATGGAGCTTTTATACAATTGCACATGGTTCATATAAAGTTCATTTCATGTCTTCATAAAGTTACACAAAGTTTTCGCATGCACACGATTCGCCTAAATTCATTCAGTCCCACATAACTCGCATGACATTCGCGAGTCCATCAAATCTCCAACAAAATAATTAAAGAAAACCGAGAGAGAAAATTAATTTCCATGTAAATTTAGTTTCTTAGAATCTCGACAATCATGCTAAATACGAGTAAAGAAAGAAGCGGTATTCTCAACTCGTGTTACCGCTTGGCTATAGCCCGAAGGTTTGTCCCCGAGGCAGATCATGGCGCCCCGAACACGTAGGACATCTCGTGAGCAAGCCTCCGTTAGAGGAATACAGAGAATTTCCCGTAGGAAAAGAAAAATTCGCGGTTGAAGAGGCGTGTCGAGTCGCCGGCCGTCGACTCCGGTTACGCGTTGTCCACGATTTCTTTCGGCCTCGTGGTATCCTGTCACAGTCGAGCGAACGGACCTAGTCAAACGAGAGAGCCTTTTTTCCGAAAAACTCGGACGAAATTAGGAGGCGGACGTTATCTGGCCAGACGAACTCCCGCTGGGCTGCTGGGCCCCTGGGAAAGCTATTTAAAAAAGCCGCGGTTTACACACGGTCCAACTGTTTCTTGCGCTCGAATCCGCCTCGTGCTATTACTATTTAAATTACGCTCCGAATGACTGAGATTATTCTGCTTAGTCGATTTACTGTCGAGGAAAAGTGTGATATACTTGTTGCTTGCGACGGAATGTTTTAATTTCTTGGATAAGACGATCATCTCATGATTGTGATCGTTGCGAGGTTATGTTAGATCGAGTGTCATTGCAATGGCGAAAATTTGTAGGCGAAAGTTTTGGAATTCAGAAGTAAGACTTTTTGGAAATTTGTGTCTCAGCAGTTTACAAATTTTAGAACTTTGAAACTTGCTAATTTGATCTGTCAAAAAATTTATAAAGTCCTACACTAACATACTCAACCCAGTTTCGATCAATTAATAGTCGTCGCCTCGTTAAGCATGAATACTTTCCTAAAGTGATTCTTCCTTAATTTATCCGCGTATTTGCAATGCGAGTTTTTCGAAGAAACCGATATAAAAAAAACGGGGTATCTTGTAGCGAAACGACACGGTTTTGGAATATTTTATGGAGCCACGGCATGGGGAGTTTATTTTCGACGCGTGATTCAAGCGTTTTATTTCAACGATCGAAAAGTATCGGAACGGGTGTCGTGAATGGCGAACGAACCGTGAATCGTTTTAGTATCGATTCACGAACGGGGAATCGTTGTATTTTCGATGAAGCTCGTCGGATAAGCGGCGGGACGTGAAAAGTATTCGGAGAAGAAACATGTATCTACTATTCTTAGCATTCGACGACAGGTATATTGGGTTGAGAGTGGTTCGCCATTTGTAAGAGTCAACGCGAATTTAACCGTGGCATGCTCACCGGTTGGGGTCAGACTGACCCACGGTTCTTAAACATTCTTCAAACGTTCTTGGGAATTCTTGAAACACTTATGAGAAACCGATAATCCTTTATTTAAAAATATTTTACTAATACAATTACTGATTTAAAATATTAGTTAACTATTTGTAATGGTTTAATATTCACATTTTATAATATGCATCAATAAGAATGCAATAAAAATTTAACGTTAGAGTTGCAAGTTCTGAAATGTTTGACTAATATATTCACCGAGTAAAAATGAATACTTTATAACATTGTATATCATGCTTTTTAATACTTCATAACATTCTTCATATTATGAGTCAAAAAGACTCCAATAGAAAAATTTAACGTTAATGCTGCAAGTTCTGAAATGTTCGACTAATATATTCACCGAGTAAAAATGAATACTTTATAGCATTGTATAACATTCTTTTTAATACTTCATAACATTCTTCATATTATGAGTCAAAAAGAATCCAATAGAAAAATTTAACGTTAATGCAGCAAGTTCTGAAATGTTTGACTAATATATTCACCGAGTAAAAATGAATACTTTATAACATTGTATAACATTTTTTTTAATACTTCATAACATTCTTCATAATATTATGAGTCAAAAAGAATCCAATAGAAAAATTTAACGTTAAAGCTGCAAGTTAAATACAATAAATCGATACGCATTTTGTTGTGCAACTTGTGAACGTCACGCATCAAGTTTTACATTTAACAAATAAATCAAAGTTTATTAAACTGTAACAGCGTTTACAAAGCATTCATGGTTTTCGGTGTACGAAAAGGATAATTGATTATTGTTAGCAAGCGATAGAAGGGTACGTGCAATAATTTTGACGCAAACGGCGTCGACAGGACTCTCGTTCGTGACGTGTACACTCGATCGGCAAATCAAAGCGAAATTCGAAAGGAAACGTTGCTGTTAATCGACAGCAATCAATTGGCAGTCGATGACAGACGCGATAAAAATCGGTGCCCATTGAAATCGTGTCTCGTTCAACAATTCTACCGGCTCTACTACATTATTCGCGATAGCAGCTTGAAACTTTCGAAACGCACAAAGAGCTGCTCTTTTCGTTTCAATAATTCTCTGTATATCTCTGTTAATAAAATATCAACTTCAAAGCGACGTCATTTAAACCTTCTCACTGATATTAACTAATTAAATTGCAAATTTTGCATGAAACTGTTGTATTATTTCGTAATAATGTAAAGTAAGATTTGTCTGTGAGTGTGGGATGTTTTGTGTTTTTGACTCTTAATTATATTACATTCTAATGTAATGTCTTGAATGCTATATCGAATTCTTGTACGAGGTATTAATTCTTGTTGAAGTTGGATTGGAAATTCAGTAAAATTTAAACGAACATTCGATTTCCGACGGATCGAACTCGCATAATCGTAAAACAGCGGTCCATATGGACCGTCCAGCGAAGATTTACACATTTCCGAGGCCACTTACCAGAATTACTCGTATCGGACCGCGTGGTTCGATACTTATGGTGGTCATAAGTTCCCTCCGATTTACGGAAGGGTGCAATCTACCTCGTAAATACAAATATTCACAAACTCATTCGTTTTCCACCCCGAACTATTCGCATCAGTAATACAAGTACCTTTCGCATCAAAGTTTTTCGATTATTCGTAACTTTCATTCGAAAACGTTTTCTGCCTTCGTAACTCTCTTATTACTCATCAAGCAAACTGATTGGTACATATCCGCATACAGAGTATCATGAATCGTCATACACCGCAAATGTAAAAACGCAGTCTAGCCATTTCTCGATCAAAGGGTTAAGTACATAAAAAGCATTGGATCTTTCATCAGTCCCTCATCACGGTGTTTTCGAGAAAGCATCGACACCCCCGATTCGCGCGAATCAACGAGGATCCCCCTGTCTCTCTCGATGCGACGCAGCTTTTTTTTTAACCCGCGATACGCGAGGCTCTCTCGAGAGATCGTTCTCGCGGGCATCGTTCTCGTGAAAAGGAGACAAAGGGGTAATTATTGGGAGCCGGTATCGCGGCGACGATTAATGGCCGCTATCAATGGCCAGCCGAGCCGACGAGATACGCGGCTTATTAATTAATTGCGTCGAGCAACGCACGAAATCGAGGGCCGATTATTGTAGTCGCGTCTCCCGCGATAGATGCTGGCTCGTTAGCGTCGGCGTCTATGATCGACGCCACGATCCGAAGGTTAACAGGCCGTCGCAAACAACGCCGCTGTCGATTCCGCGCGTTATCGATCCGTCCGGGGGAAATCGGTGCTCTCGTTAAACGGAAAACGCGATGGCACGATTGCTATCGTTCGATTCCCCTCTATCGGGACCGATCCGGCATCCATTCGCGAATCGCACGGCTCGAGATTCGCCCTGCAATCGTGAATTATTGATCGTTGCTCGAGTACGATGGGGCTCTTTCGATAGCTCACGGATCTTGCCGGTTTATGGTGCTAGTACCGAGAAATTTCTGATACCCCGAGATAAATTTTGTTTACTCTATGCAAGAATTTTCCCTGGTGACCTCGTGCAACATCGCATACATTTATTACGGTGTGACAAATAATAAACTCTCGTCTGACTCAAAATTTTACACCCTTCTGTTGCACCACGAATGTCAAGCTACGTATGTGAAATTACGAAGTAGTGGAATATTTTACAAAACGTTTGAATCACGTCCTGTTTGTACCTTGTTTATACTTGAGCGCCATTAATCGGACTTCTGATTGATGGTTGCCATTCATCTGCCGATACGTTCCTCTATTTGCTGCACGATTCAATGAAGTTGCAATCGTTGAATAAAATAAAAGGAGAGTTCGATCGTACTCTCGAGCGAAATTGGCTAACAAATACGAGTAGGAGAACCGTAGCGAATAATTAAGGTCGAAAAGTTCGGCATTTTGCTCCGCACTCACGAAATGTCGACGCGTCAGGCATGGAAAGC